TGAGCGACTCCCCGTCACACAGGGCCCTGTCCCACTGAGCGACTCCCTGTCACACAGGGCCCTGTCCCACTGAGCGACCCCCTGTCACAGCACAGTTGCTAAAGGGGAGAAGACTCCACACCCGGTTAACTCTGATCTCCCTGGACCCATGGGGTGGGTATGGGGGAATGAAGGGTGAAACAACATCAGTAACACCATTGCTGGACACAAGACTCCTTTAAGCTAGACAGGCAGTTTACTACTGCACCTGGCACATAGCTTGATGCTGAAAGCAAGGAACTGGCCCTGCATGGGTAAGAGGCACAGTCGATGTGCGATCAGGTCCTGTGATTTACAAGTTTGGGGTAGGTGAGGTGGTCCTGAACAAACATGTTGACCACAGGAAAGCTGAAACATTGTTAATGGGGCAGGAGTAAAACATACACTGTCCCTCAGACCGACACAAAAAGCTGTCGGAACCTATGGGTTCTCCCCCTCTGCCTGGCAGATGGTGTAGTCTCAATGCCTTTACTGCCTGTAGAGGATTAATTTCTTTTGACATGCTAAGGTCACAAGAGGCAGGCTACGATCTAGTACATGTTATCTGTATCCAAGGCTGAGTTGGAGGAACTGGACCCGGTGTGCAAACAACGCAGGAGAGGCTACAAGAGGAAAAGCAGGCCTACATCCCTGGACATGGAGGAGGAGGGATGTAGTGATTATAATGAGGTCAGTTAGGTGGATCCCATAGAATGAGTTTACTGATTGGACCAGATAAAGAGCGACAATCAGGGAGCTCTGGCTGACAGATATAAACAGAAGTGTCAGAGTTTCAGTTCACCTGAGAGCTAGCTCTGAGGGAACTTGATCAGTGTCACGTCCTATGCACGTAAATAAAGGGTGACTTGGTGACAGCCTCTGATTTCAAACCCATACCCCACCAATACCCTGTTCCAGTGTCAATCCGGTCTCACCACAGCATACCCCTCTCACCCTGCAGGGATGCTCCTACCTGAAACCCACTCCTTCCACCCTCTAGGGGTGGGATCACACAGCTCCCTACCTGGCCCGCGGTGCCGTTTCTCCATCCAGATGTAACAATTGCTCTGAGCCACTCCGGTCTGCGAGTCCAGGAAAGGTAGCCTCACACTCCTCTCTGCACACAGCCGGGCATTATAGTTGTGGCACTGTTCAATGGCATCTTTGTAGTACTGCTCGCCAAGGCTGTGTGTGCAGAAGGCAGTCACCAGTCAGTACCAGCACAGAGAGAGAGAGAGAGAGAGAGAGACAGACAGAGAGAGAGAGAGACAGCTTCAGGAGGCAGATGTGTCCCCCCCCACCCCAGCTAAGCCCCAACACGACAGCACCTTGCTCTCAATGTGTCACATTTTAAGATCATTTTTAACCCCTTCGTTCTCTTGCAACCTCTTACCCAGTGTCTGCTCCAGCAGGGTCCTTCCTCACCCCAGCTCTGCCCATCCCACACTGCCTAAGGGACTGTGGGCCTCCTCTCTCTCTCTCCATCAGCGACTGAGCTCAGTCCTTCGTGGTGGCTCAGTGGTTAGCACTGCTGCCTCACAGTGCCAGGGACCCAGGTTCGATCCCACCCTCGGGCGACTGTCTGTGTGGAGTTTGCACATTCTCCCCGTGTCTGCGGGGGCTTCCTCCGGGTGCTCCGGTTTCCTCCCACAGTCCAAAGATGTGCAGGTTAGAGTGGATTGGCCTGCGGTGTCCAGGTTAGAGTGGGTTTAGCAATGGGAAATGCAGGGTTTACAGGGATAGGGTAGTGGCCTGGGTCTGGGTGGATGCTCTTCAGAGGGTCGGTGTGGACTTGATGGGCCAAATAGCCTGCTTCCACACTGTAGGGATTCGATGATTCAGACACAACAACTTCAGAGACCCCCCACCAAAACACTGCGTGCTCCCTCACTGATCTGAGGCAGCTCCAGTCTTAATGTTCTGGGGAAGGGTCACTGGACCCGAAACGTTAACTCTGATTTCTCTTCACAGACACTGCCAGACCCGCTGAGGTACTCCAGCAACTTCTGTTTTTGTTCCAGTCTTATCTCAGTGCCCTTCTTTCTTTTTACTTTCTTGAGCCACATGGGTGTTACTTGCTGGACCCAGCATTTATTGCTCATCACTAGTTGCCCTGGGTAAAGGTGGGAGTGAACTGTCTATATGTGATCCACCCTGCACCGCACACTGCACCACCTTGTCCCAGAGGAAATCAGACTCTAGAGCAGAATCTTGGTAATCCAGCCCTCCTTGTGCATTGCAAGCAGTATGCACTGGTTAGAGGGGCAGAGACACACTGGTAAACAGGCCTGTGAGGGCGGGGGAAAATACAACAAAAGGGCAGGAGGGGAGACAGGGGGCAGAATGTGCTGAAGCTGACTAAAATAAAGTGGACAGTTTTAAAGGGGGTGAGAAGGGAGAACAGGAACAGACCTGTAGGGGTCTCTACACAATCACTGAGGGTGACGGACAATTGAGAAAACTGGTTAATAAGCAGACAATATCCTTGCCTTTGCAAAACCTGACAGTACCTTCCAAACCCACGATGACTTCCATCTAGACGGACAAGGGCAGCAGATACCTGGGAACACCACCCCCTGCAAGTTCCTCTCTGAGCCCCTCA